AGAATAGATTAAAAAACATGAAAAGCATTTCGCGCTGGCTATTAATGAGCCTGCATGTGAAAGCTTGCAAAGACTTAGTTGTAGTGGAGAGTATGAATCCAGGTGGTGTCTATAGAGGTGGCAACGCCGTTCACTTTCACACCCATATGCACAGGCAGAGGGACAGCTGAAAATACACCACGTCCCCGTGCCGCCTTCCACCCCACAGGTCTCTGCACAGCGGTCAGAGAGAAAGCAAGGCCCACAGAAAAGGAGGGTGGGTGCTGTGAAGGCTTTACAGGTCACACCGGTGGCTGAGGCTTTGAGCATCCTCAGGAGACGTCAGAAAATTGCCTGTGGCTCGCAGAAGTCACAGCATGTCAGCGGCTGAGCTGACTCGAAATGTGCCCTCGCCTGATACCTACTGCTTATGAGATCTCCATTTCAGGGATTTATGTGGATCTAAACACGCCAGACAGCTACGTCAAATCTGGGCAATCTGGACCACAACCTGAACCATTACCGTCCAGTTTGCTGAGCTCCCCTCAACGACCCTCAGAGACGCTGCAGCACGTGGCCTATTTGGCAAACCCTCCTTACAACTCATTCCCTTTTGTACGTTCTTCCTCGTACCTGTAAGGTAGAGAAATGCCTTCACTTTCTTAGCAGGCAGGGAATAGAAGTGGGAGGAGATAAAACGATTTGGACAAGGGCATGGATTTGTGGTTGTGCGGAGAGCTGCCCCCAGGGCTCCCGAGACACATGGTGAGCGCCCACACCAGCATTACTTCTTATTGGCCTACAGAATACTGGGAAATGAAGATACCAAATGGAGATGGACTTCTTAATGTGGAGGAAGAAGTGGCTGATTGCAGAAGACAGTGTTAAAATAAAGCATCCGCAGAAGGAACTGTCCTTACCAACATCGCAGTGGTCCCCAGTCCAGCCGGCGTGGCAGATGCATTTCCCCGAGTGCTGGTCACAAACGCCATGGTGGCAGCTGCAGTTCTGCTCACAGCCCTCTCCATACCTCCCGTCCCCACACGCTGAAAGGAGATGGGGGAGACTGATGGGGGGCCGGTCTGGAAGGGCTTACCCTTCTGAAATATGGTGAGACACCTAAGCTGGTCCTAAAAACCCTCAGTGAGGGAGATTTGGAAGCCTCCTTTGGCAAAATTCTCTAGAAATACATTGTTTTCCTCTTGGAGGATTTATTTTTTTTCCCCCTCAAATTGAGTTCATTACCCATCTTCCCTCTCCCCAGAGAATAGCTTACTCCTCTCCTTTGCCCAGCAAGTTTCAAGCACCAGGCTACGTTCAGGTGCCAATACCATATCTCCCCACAGCCTTCCCACCTCTAACAACCCCAACTTTTTCAACCTCTCCACACACGGTGCCCTCCAGCCCTCTGCCCCTCCTCTCTCTTTCTGGGCTGTCTCAAACCAGACCCCACCAGAACTGAATTTCCTCACAGAGCGACTGAAACGAGGCGCTGGCGTGATGGCGAACATGATGAGACTCACCCAGCTCACAGGCTATCCCCGTCCAACCCTGGGGACACCGGCACTCGCCCGTCACGGGGTCACACATGGCCCGATTGTGGCAGATGCAGCGCTGCAGGCAGTTCGCACCGTACCATCCAGGAGGACAGGCTGCCAAGGGGAGGTGGGACAAAAGCCTTCTATTAAGAAGAGCAGGAGCAGGACACAGGTTAAACCACCACTTTTCTCAGCTTACACCCCCTCTCGCCCTGGTGATCGTGGAGACGTTGTGGGAGGTACAAAAGAGTGAAAATGGGGCCACGACTGATAAGGAATTTTACAGACAAGTGTAAAGCTCTTCTGGGAGCAAAATAGGTGATGAAGTGAATTAGCTATGACGCACCAAATGAGGTTTTCTGTTTGCACCTATGAAAAACTTGGTTCCTACCTGCTTTCTCAACGCCAAGGAGCCCAGGTATAGATTTCCCCATTTGCGGAATTTCTTTGTACAATCCTCTTAAAATCACAACTCCTTTTCAAATTGATCTTCCTACCCACAGCTGGCTGATGACATTTCACAGTTTACCTATTTTTAATTAAGCAAGTTTATGAATTCTCATCACAAACAGGTCCTATGGATAGAACCTATTTTTTTTTGGCAGAAAAAAATACAGGCCTCTGTCATGTGCCAGAGTGGCACCTTTTTAAGATGCTAACAGGAGCAAGTTAGCAGTCGCCAGGGCAGGTTTAGGCTAAACATTAGGAAAAACTTCTTCACCGAAAGGGTTGTCAGGCTCTGGAATGGGCTGCCCAGAGAGGTGGTCGAGTCCTCATCCCTGGAGGTATTTAAAAGAAGGATAGATGAGGTGCTTAGGGACAGGGTTTAGTGGTGGGATGGCAGGGCTAGGTTAACGGTTGGACTCAATGATCTCAAAGGTCTTTTCCAATCAAAGTGATTCTAAGTTCTCACTCTGCAATAGCACAGTTGCCAGAGAATGGCTCACCCAGCCTCGCACACTTATTCCGCCTCCTTACTTTCAAAGGGAAAACAGATCCCCAAATGTATCGTTAAAGTTAAAAAGAGTATGTTTGACAACGTCTTCATACTTGACAACAGCTTTTTTAACTTTGGTTTTGTATTTGAAGCCTTCGTGCAAACCAGAAAATTTTAGGTTGTGTCGAACACATCATCAAGAATGGTTTTGTACCTTCCTAACTTTATTCCTTCATGGAAAGAGCTCTTCAAACTAGGTTTTAAAGGGGGACTCACTTTATATATTCCTCCACCCTTTCCAGCTTTCATCCCCTTTCCCCAACCATCCTCTTGGTATGCTGAAGGGCAGCCGCTGCTTGCGTGGAGGTGCTGACTCCAAACCCCAGCTCACCCAGCAGCACCCCCAGCTCCGTGGCACTGCTTACAGAGCCAGGGACCTTGCGGGCAAAGCATGGAAAAAGGAGCCTTCTGCAATGGGGATGGACAGACTACTTCTAGCTGCTTGGGTGCAGGGGATTAGGAGGTGAAACGTAAGCCTCAACACGGCCTTTCTTTGCCAGCCTCTTTTCTTCAGGCTCCTCGGAGTTGGGCTTGTGTTTGAGTCACACATACTGGTCTAATTGCCAAGGGTGGAAGTCCCAATGCCTTTCACATGTTCTGGATTTAGCCTATGTCTGGAACAGCGTACGGTAATGACGAGGATCAGTCGGGCGCGCGGGACGGTAAAGCAGGCCATAGAAAAGAAACAGTTTTGTTTCAGTGTCATAAATGGGAGTTTTACGGACTTTTTCTCCCTTAATCAGACAGCCTTCAAAACCAGCTCTCCTTCCAGTTTATGACTCTGTTTCAGCCCCCTCTGCCCTGCGTACACCGAGCTCCCACACCCGGCATCACGGATTCACTTAATGGACCGAGCACGTTACTGTGTGGATACAAACCCAAAGACAACACAGGGCAATGAGCTGATAATTAAAATACCAACGAAGCCCCGGAGCAGAAGTTTTGTTTTTCCCTCTTATATTCCTCCAGCAGGGTGTTGAATTTCTGACTGTACCTTCTTGGCAGGTGGCTCCTTTCCACCCCGGGCTACAAAGGCACCTCCCAGTTACGTGATGACAGAGCGCGCCGTTGTGACAGTGACAAGCGTGGCTGCAGCCTGGCCCGTAGCTGTCCCCCTGGCAGGCTGCAAGGAGAGAAGTCCAAGAAACCCCATCAGGAAGCATCAAAGGAGGCATCGCACACAGAAAACCTGAGGCACAACCCAGCGCCAGGGAAATCAGTTTGAAATCAGCTTCCGACAACACACTTTGCACATCATAAGGGTGCCTAAGTCCGTATGTTAAGCATGCCTGACACTAAATAACCTGGTTTAACAATATGTATCATAGCATGTTCTGAAGAGGCTTTTATCGAAGGGCAGGATCGCTCAGGTGATGGATCAGCTGTCATCTCCTGCCCTGAAGAATGTCTTTGTGCTAAACTAATGGTCCAGCAGGACCGCCAGCCTGACAGCCCGGGTATTTATTTGCATCCTGGTAAAAGAACTGACAACTTCATTGTTTTCAGTGTTCATTTTTCACAGCTGGATGCTTTTGCTCACCCGGAGTCTCATTCTTTGGTCAGAGAGGGGTGATATTTTCAATGCATTCAGTTAAGCAGCTGGCTCCCAGGTGAAAACGTGGCCATCTTGCAAACGTACACTTGCTGCAGCTCTGTTTTCAGTGCTGCTGCCTACAAAAAATGGCAGTGAGGAAATTCCTATAGTCTCTGTTGCACTGGAGATTTGGATAGCTTTACGTGGTGGAAAACAGACAATACTGCTGCCCTGCTTTCTTCAGATATCACCCAAAAATTACCAAATGAGTTGAAGAAGTTGGATAGCCTCCTTGCACGGTTTCTCTGCCTGCCTTGCAGAGGCTCTTCTTCATCCCCTCAGCGCTGGAGAGGCAAAAAAGGCTCTGATCCCTGATCCAGACATGTCCTGCACTCACTGAATGTGACATCTCCCAGGATCAGACCCAAGCGATGACTTTTCAGCAGAGCCTTTGAGGGTGTCCGTGTGCAGAACAAGAAGCAGTGCTGCGGGAGGACACATCCCTAGGGACCAAGGGAGGAATGAAACCATCTTGACCTCAGGGGTGAACTTGGTTGACAGTACTTGACCCATTATCAGCCCTTTTCTTCCCATCTTGAGGACTTCCAGCTTCCCAATGCGGTTCTCACAGACACCATTTCTCCCAGGACTTTCCAGCAGTGTTCACTTTTGTCATCGCTTGGACCCCATCCACATTGAAACCACAAGAAAGTGCAGGAGCTCAGTCTCATCACAGTTAAAAGTTTGTTCTGCAAATGAGGCCTGGTTGCCAAGTTAAAGGTTCAGCCCATCCTACAGAGCTCTGGCTCAGTTTTGGGAGCAGAACTAAATATTTCCACACCACAGACCAGAACTATATCATAACCAAGCCAAAGGAAAAACCAGCTCATAACCAGGTCCCCTGACTGGTTACTAGTGGTTCGTGTGAGGTTTTTGGAGTATGCATGCAAAGCTCTTGTTATGCTTACTGAGAAGACAAAAGAGCTTTCCAGTGAAAATTCTGGTAAGAAAACAGAAATTTTTGGAGAAGAAAATTTTTATTATCCTACTGGGTGGATACAAACTTTTTTTTAGCTTCTCTGTAGGACAGTCCTGATTTTCAAAGTACTTTTCTGAAGAATAAGATAATAAGTGATATATTGAAGCTATTTTATGAAGTTCCACAACTGAATGTACAAATAACCATGGGACTTTTCTCCTGTCTTCAAGATGAGTGCAAAGGAAAGAAGTAATAGAAAGGTTTAAATTATTAGACTTCTCCCTGCTTCAAAATTTGCCGCCCGGCGCCTTTCCTCTGTAAGAGGAGGAATTATTCATTTGCAGTCTTTAAAATACCTTTTTGCATGCAGAGTAAGGAACACATGAAACTGGAGACCAAAACATTCAAACTGGACATCAACAGCCAGCAAAAGTGTTGGGGAGTGCAGGGAAATGATGGGCACTAAGGCTCAACAGGGTGCCCAAAAACTTTGATTTCCATGCAGCTCCCATGGACTGTTCTCCCCAAAATGAAGTTTCAGCTTTAAAAGAATGGGGAATTTGTAAATCCAAGTGCTCACACACTATGAAATGTCAAACCCCTGGTTATCAGCGCCCTTGAGCAGAGACTCTGGCAGAGCTGAGCTTTCCAAACTCATTTATTTTGCAAACCAGTGTGGTCTCTCTTTACCACAAGGAACTGCTTCTGTGAAGGTCCTGCTGAGCCCTAACAGCTCCAGAAAGAGGTGGGTTTAGTACTAATAGAATCAAGGCAAAATGCAGATGCTGAATTGTGCTCAGCTTCTACAGTCCATGGACAACATGAGTTTTGGGTTTTTTGGGTTTTTTTTGTTTGTTTGTTTGGGTTTTTTTGGGGTTTTTTTTGTGGTTTTGTTAGTTTGGTTTTGGAAACTGCAAAATTTGGATGAGTTTGTATACAGAAAGGAAGGTTACATCTCTGGCACAAAGAGATGCCAAATGTCAAGTCCTCACTTCTGTATCTCCAAGGCATCATGACGCTCAACCAAACAGTTTAGTTTATTTTAAATACTGGCAATACACCTTTCCTAAACCTCTTTCTTGGACACCTAAAATACCTTAGGCAGATGCTCAAAAAAACCACCCCAAAATAAAAAAAACCACCAAACACAACCTTAAGCTGAGGCAGAGCTCGCTTGGCAGATTTCATCCCAGATTAATATAATTCATTTACAAGCAATTGAAAAACACAGTCTTATAATGGAAAGTGTTAGGCAGCTTTCAACAAAAGGCATTACTGTCCGTATCACCCATAATTAGATAGCAGTGTATAAAATGCACTGCATGGCCGGCTTAAGATCAATTCAAATTCCATGATGTCAAAATTATTCCTCAATATCCTCCAGCACATTGCCTGCAATCTGATTACTTGCTGTCCTTCCAGCTGCTAGAGCTGGCAAGTCCCAGAAACTGGCAAGGGGAATATTAAACACCCAACAAGGATGGGGAGTGGTGAGCCGACGTCTCCGACCCGTGGTCGCCTTACTCCGAGCAGCTTTGGAGTGGCGTGGCCAAGGTCCAGCCTTAAAATCAAAATGAAGATTCGTCGTTTAGCCAAGAGAAAAGGAGGTTACCCCTTTGCACCGCTAACTGACCTTGCTCTTTTACTTACAGGCAAAGGAGACCTCGGAGGCTTTGTCATCTTCACCGGCATGAGGAATAAATCATCCCAGCATAAAGCTCTATTGGCTGTGGCTCAAGAGAATAAATAGGGTTTTTTCTCTAGGGGCACAGAAGGCCATTGACAAAGAGCTGCATTTCTTAATTGAATTTAATGAAATATGTAGGAACAAAGCTTCCCATCCCTAACGTAGTCTAAAGAGCGGGGAAGGGCCAAGGTGATGCATCGCTAACGCCGTGGCTTGGCTCAAGGGCAGTAAAAGTGGGCTGTGACCAAGAAGAAAACATCGTACTTGTTCAGCAGCACCTTTTCTGCTTTGTGGTGTGGCTGTAAGGCTCTGGCTCTGCATTTATTTCATGGTCACTCGTTAACCTACACATACAGGGGAGTATTACCACCACCACCACCACCTTCAAGCAGTGGGGGTCAGAAAGCCAAGTGTCCTATGGGGGACCACGAGGAGGCAAAAAGGACTGCAATGGTGGGATGTTTGCAGAAATATCTGAGAAGTGGAAAGATTCACCAGCATTGACCCTCCTGTAAACCAAAAGAGCACAGGATTTTGCAGGAGAAGCCCTTTCAGAAGACAGGCTGTGTTGCACAGTGGGGGGCAAACGAGGGAAAAATATTATGAAGAGCAAGCACAGCCCTCAAAGAGGGCTGATGGTGTACGGCTGGAGATCAGACTTGTTTCAACGCAAATATCATTTCTCTCTATTTTCTATTGCAGAAATCTGCCACCTATGGATTAAAGAAGCCTTACGACAGCGTTCACTAACAGTGAAAGTTGGCTCCCTAGGGAGCTGCTTTGGACCCCAGCTCTACAGCACAGTCTTACAGACGGCAGTCATGTTTTCAAAGGGAAGTATAGACCATGACATCATCCTAAAGAGAAACTAGAGAATCGAGAGGCTAAAGCCTGAAAATCTTAAAAAAACTGCCCCATTTTTGCTAAATTTTGCAAACAGACTCAGCAATCTCCATATGTAATATGTAACTAAAGACAATAATTTCATTTCCCATAAAATTTAGTGAACAATTTCTCAGAAGAGCCAATTTTATATATGCATACACATAAACATACAAAAAAACCTTATTAGCTTAAAGATGGTGGGATAATCCATACTTGTGAAAATCTACGAAGTTGACTTTTTTTTTTAAAAAACAAGTAACTTTTCTAAGAATTAGTCAAAAACCTATTTTGTCATGCTCAAATAACAAAATAGCCCCAGCTCTGATTTTTCCACTCTGCGTGTTTGTAATCTGTCACTTTATAATGATAATTAGATGAGAGACACCAGAAACAGAGATACAAGAGTTCATCTCTTAACGTTGCACAGAAATAAAAAGCAGAGATTTGTCATATGGTAGGAGGCAGCTCTGCTATTTAAAAATTGATGCTTATAATGTTTGACAAGTGCCAACAGCAGTTAAAGAAAAAAAAAAAAAGTTGATTATTTACACAGCTACCAAAAATTGTTCCCTTTTTTGGCATCTTTGGAAAAGAATGTGACCTATCTAAAATTGTACCCGGGTAGGTCATCCTACATTCCCAGAAGAAACCCATGTTAATGCAGAAAGAGTTTGTGAACAGGGGTGGTAAGCATAGCCCATACGTACGTTGCTCGCAGGTCGCTCCCAGCCAGCCGGGGAGGCAGCGGCACGTTCCCAGGACGTGGTCGCAGCCGGCAGCATTCTTGCACTTGCACACCTGGTGGCAGTCAAGCCCAAAGAATCCATCTGGACAAGCTGAAAATGCAAAACGTGCTTTTTTAGCCAAGTTCCCATTTCTTTTTTTGTATAAATTGTAGCTCAGATATCTGGAAACACAGGGCGCTGCTCATCTTTTCATGGGCGTTTTGTCACATTTCGCGCTCTGACTATGCTTAAGATCCAAAATTGCTTCAAGGGTTAAGCCTGAACAATTCTGCTACACACATCTCGGACAAAGATGACTCGTTTTACACAAGCAACAGATTTCTGCATAGAAAAACACAGTGGAGAATACATTCAACAGCCAACCAACAGGAGAGAGAACGGATCTGGATTCACACAGGCCAGTACTTGTGCTTCTGTAATGGCCAGAGGAAAAAAAGGAAACAATTCAACATCATGCGAGACTATGGGGCCATCCCTGATTATCTTCCTGTCTTTTAAAATGCAAAACTTATGCTCCCATTTACTTTCCTGACACCTCTCTAAAGACTTTTTAACAGTGAACATAAGCCGTAGTGTTGTAGTCTGGTGCTGAAATGAAAACCTGGCAAAGAGAACGAGTAGAGAAAACCAAGACAAATTAAATGTAGCAAGACAACCCCAGGGAGCTTAAGAAGCTCAGTACCTACATCGAGGACACGTAAGGAAGAACAGGCCCATGGATTCAATTTACATCTGTACCAGTGCTGACAGCTGCGAAAATAAGGCGTCGGTGGGCAACATCATACCCAAAACGCTGTCTTACAAGAACATGGAGGCTGCTATGCAGAGTTTAAAAAAAAATAAATTAAGAATTAGTTTGTTTAGGTAGCCTTAATTTAACCTCTCTGTCTGCATATATGTGCGTGTGTGTGTTTAGATCGTGTAAGTACATGTATAAGTATGTTATACTAAATGATAGTAAATCTGTAGATACACAATTGTATGTTGTTCTTTCCACAGAACCCCCAAATCAGTCTCAGAAGCGACGGTGCTCATTAAATGAACAGTTACTCAATAAAACTTAGCTCTTTGTCCTCCTTGTTCAATACAAACATATCTTAAAAACCCTATCCTCACACTTCTACCATGAAATCAGAATGACTGGCTTCCCAATAGAGTCTCATGATGATTACCGTCATACACACTACCCAACGACCTTCCGCACTGATTTCACAGCTCTCTACCAGGGCAGAATAACACCGTTATCCAATAACACCCTTATCTTCCACCGCTGGACTCTTCTGTCCCTTTTCTTGCCCTGACTCCTTGTCCCGGTCTACTCGTACTGCCTCTTCCACAAATGTAAATTCAGTCCTCTAACAGAAAGGCCTGTTGTCTGCTTTGGCTACAACGAGGGGGAAATTCAGTATCCATAGATACAGCCAACTTGGACCTTCGGCCAGCGACGGTGGTAGCGTAACACGCTGCCACATCTGCTTTGGCTTCTCTACTACTCCTGGAGCTCAGCGTGTGACTACGTATGATTGTTGGTCACCTACTCAAAACCAAGAGGCTGCTCTTCTCTTCATCCTGCCCAGACTGAAGCTTCTTCTTTGGCATATGAAAGATTTCAGGCTTACACCACTTTCCAGGTATGTGCTGTCTCAGAAAAACAGAAAAGTGCCCCATACAGATATAAAACTCTATCGCATCCATCAGCCTCTCAGTTGGTACTGGGGAGAGAGCTGTTATCAAGTCGTAAGGAAGAGACATCGGCATGAGGTTTCAATCTTTATCAAATCTTCAAATCCTTATTTATTACGCTTCAGTAGCGTGTATGGCACAGCATACAAGAAAGGACTTCTCCTACTTAACCCTAGGTGGCTTCAAAGGCTGACAAAGTTTTGCCTTGTTTAATGCAGGGACCGCAGAGCATTGTCAGCTCTTCCTAGATGTGCACAGTATTTATTTTCCCCTTTTATCCTATTAAAACAGAACTCTTGCTGGGCTATCCTATGATAATGATTAAGTGCTGGAACCCCAAGAGAGAAGCCCATTCAGTCCGTCCTGTGGTAGTGCTGGTTTAGGCAGCAGTTCAAATGCAAACTTTGAGGGCTGCACTTCACAAGGGCTCCACGTTGCTGTTATTAATGCATCAATTAATAAACACACTGTAGAAAAAGTCCAAGACTCCTGCTGCCTCCAATTTGTGGGCTAATTTTATGTTCCATTTTGGGATATTTGGTCAGATTAAGCAGTGAACTGGATTTTTCTTCTGTTGGCCTGATCCTGTAACCGGACACGTGCCTTGGGTCATGCAACACATAACAGAGCAGCGGGGAACGAAATTAAACAAAATTATGTTGCAGTGAAGACAATTGCAACCTTCAAAGGGGGAGCAGCAGATGCTCAGCACTTCACAGAATGAAATAAATTCCAACAATCGCCTTCTCAAGCGGGAGCAGAGCAAGCCACCGGTGCAGGGCAGGGTGACCCAGCTCGCTTGGCACGGTGTGCTTGTAAGAGAGCCGCGAGCCGGGACGGCGAGCGCAGGCGCACCTTAACGCCTTCTGGGTGTGCTGGCCGGACAGCTGGGCTGCCTGACATCAGGAGCCTACGGCCCGTGCTTCCCCACATCTCAGATGTTAACATTTGTTTTAAGAAAGCATGGATCTACTTAGCTATTTATCACAAGAAAGATGGGGTTTGGGTTTGGGGGTCGGGGTGGGGGAAGGTGTTGGGTTTTTTACTTGTCTGTTTAGCTGTAGGTACATTAAAACCGAAGCCCCGCAAGTAGGGGGTGATGACAGCAGGCATCTTTTCTGGAGAAAACACTACTGATCTTATCTATGCTTTAACAGGAGAGAAAAAGGACTTACAAAGCCACCTTTTGCTATGGTCACTACCTTTGCACAGTCCGGGAATGCAGAGGCATTAATTGCCGCTTGAGTTCGGGAACAGCCAGAACCCCAACACGCGCCTCAGGTACCTTCTCCCCAGGTGTATAACATTCTCCTCTCAGAGAGGAAGGATATCTAGAGGCATCGCTAGTAGCATCACTCTCAAGGAACCACCAAAAATGACTGCTTTTCCTTTGGTAATTCTAGACCTTGTGAAGAACCATACGGTGTTTCATCAAGTGTTCTAATTGTATCACTTGCTGCTTTCAAGAAAATGCAAAGGAAGCCTTTCCTAGGTTGTTCAGATGGCGCGCAAACATTTCTTAGTAGCTTATTTTGTTTTCAGGCTTATTTGCAAATGTTAGCTACTTTGCAGCTGGAACAGTTCTGCTCCTTTTGCAGCTCTTTTGAAAGTGTTACAGGATTCACGAGGTTCATTTTTCCAATGGCCCAAGCAGAGCTGAAAGATGCAGCAGGCACACACCACCTTCAGAAACGTCTGATTTTCTTTCAGAAAGTGGCTCGATAGCTTTATTCTTACCCGTTATTATGATATGTGATCATACCAGTACTGGAGAGGCAGCAGTATGATTGAATGATACCAGGTGGAGATGAAGAAAGCTGATCGCAGCTGACTCAGAGCAGAACTGAGATGCTGATGGACAGACAGAAGTATTTGCAAGGGTGTGAGGGCTCTTGGCCGCATCCTGTGGCTGAGGGCGCAGTGGTCCAGTCAACTCCTGAATAATTCACAGCAAGGTCTCATGAAATGGCAACCTGGAGCAACAGTATCTCCTGCTACTCGTTAGCCTGGAAAGTGTCCTGTGCTGGTGGATGCTGATGTGGCTTTGGTTGTCATTTGTATTACTGACAGGCACTATAAGTAGGCACATACCAATTTGCACTGAGTATTGCAAATGTCTCCTGATCCACCACGCTGTCCTCGCTCTTCATACTCTTTTGAGAGAATGCTGGATCACCTACAAGGCCTTGGGTCATACCTCCAAAATACTAGATTCTGGCAAATTGAAAGGTTTGCCTTGATTCAGTTAAAACAGAAATATGACTGAAGCATCAGCCCTGCCTCAAACACCACGGCACACTCAAGCACTATGGTGGTTCCCTCGTCAAGGGATGAACACTGATTACTCATCAAGACACTGCAGCATGTTAGCTGGTAACACAAATGCTTGAAATGACAAATACAAGCTCGCTTGACCATAGTGCCATAAATCTTCCAAGAGCTTTCTACAGTTGCTACCGTGCATCCACAGAGGCAGAGTAAGCTGGATAAATCTGGTTAACTTCACCATGAAGAGATACACTGTAAAAGCCCAATGCTGAGAATTAGCCAGGGCTAACATTAACAACGCTAATAAATAATAAGAGATTATGGAAATCTGTGGCAAATAAAGAACTTAGAAATGGCCACTGAAGTGATGTTTTGCAACAGGGACTGGCATGTAAACCTATGAAGCCCTAATTCACACCGAAGGTAGCAAATTAATGAAGAAGAACAGCAGTACTTTGCTCCCACCTGAAAAAAGAAAAGCATTCCCAAAAAAATCCAAAGGCAAGTTTTGTCACTTGTGCAAATTCAGCTTGAAACTGGATCCCATGCTGTCACAATGCAAAATACCAGAAGCAACGACTGCAGGCTCAAAGACACTCATTGTGCAGGGCTGATATTAATTATTAATATTAATCAATATTAGATGTTGTAAGGTGCTGTCTTCTCCTAGGACTCTGAACTTAGAAGGCTGCAAAAGCTTCAGTTTCTATGTTTTTGTGATGATGGAAAAGTCCTTCCCAGACCTGGGATGAAGCAACAGCAGTATGTGAGATGCCCAAGGCAACCCAGCTCCCGCAGGTCTCAATCTCTACGTTCTTGTCCGCAAGGCGCAGAGCTTGGCTGACGTGGGTGGATTGCCAAGAGGACAGCAAAAAGCACATCCTCGCCAGAAGGGAACCCTGCCAGTCTCTGAGTCACTAAAAACAGAAGTGCTACAGCTCCTCAGAGAAAAGGTGCCAAGAAGGTTCTACCAAGGGCAAACCACCCACACATTTTCCTTCATCTTTCGGAACCAGCCAAACCATTCTGGTTGAAGCTTTCTACATGAAATGGTAACACAGGTCAGCTCAGAGCAAATGCTCTGCCTGCTTGAGAGAACACATGTAGAAAACAGAGTCTTAGGAACAGTAAGTGCTAAATTCTACTCTCGCCTCCACAATCTTCTTTCAGGAATTCAAAAAGATAAATATGTCCAACATGACTGATTTGGAAGCTGAGACTTGTATTTTTTTTTTCCAATAGATGTCACCCAGGCTTCTCCATATTCCTCACACCTCCTTTGGTGAAGGATATTTAGCCTCTTTGTCCCCATTTTGATTCCTGCCGGAACGAACAGATTTACACCATGACACAGATAACTGTATGGCCTTTCCAATAAGAACATAATAATTAAAAAAAAAAAAGAATAGACTTATGAAAACAGAGTTCAACTAAATAATTTCAAAACGGGACATAGTGGAGGTACCACAAGTTATGAGGCACGCTTTGCAGCAGAGAGCGCGGTGCTTTGCTCATTTACTGGTAAGCTGTGGAGCACCTCCCTTCCCATCAGAGGGCAGTGGCTGCCTGCAAGTGCTGCCTCTTCCCTCCATCGTAGCTGTAACGCTACCCTCAGAAACGTGCTGATAAAGCCGCTTTCTAAGCAAAATAATTGTTACTTTGGTTTAATGATCATCATTTGTAGAATCTTCAATCATTCACACTTAAATAACTTTCATAATGTCTGACTGACTACGTGCTGTTTCTGTTGTATTCAAGACTGCACTTCCTATGATCTGCACAACGATGCAGTGTGACAGCAACCCTCCTTAGACCATGCCCCAGACTGACTCACAATAACGTACCTAAGGAATCCAGTTCTCCTTTCCAACACTTAGCCAAATGATCAGGTAATAGAAAATGATCTGTTGGATTTAATAAAGTTGAAAGTCTATCTGTTGTTAAAGAATTCCTTTGGGAAGATGCACAGAGCTACGTTTTTCCTCCAAAATGTTTCAGAGATGCAGTGGGAGCAAGCAAGTGTAAGGCAGGACAAACGTCTTTCTGCTCAGCGTTACTGAAACCAGGACAACTAGTAAGACTCATGAAGAGTCTTCATAAAGATGTGATATAGCAGGGGTCTTCAGCACATATCTAATTTCAACCACATAAAAACATGCGCCCAACGCTAGGCACATGGCAAAATGCTTTGCTGAGTTAGGATGGAAGTGCACATTTCAGTATCGTCTTCCAATTAAGTTCAATGGTTTATTTAGATCAGGAGCCTCCCTTCTCACAAGGGGTCACATGGAGAGGACAAGGGGGAATGGGCACAAGTTGCTCTTGGGGAGATTCCGACTGGACATAAGAGGGAAAGTTTTCACAATGAGAAGAGTCAACAATGGGAATAATCTCCCCAAGGAAGTGGTTGACTCTGCCACATGGGACACTTTTAAGATTCAGCTGGACAGGGTGCTGGGCCATCTTGTGTAGACTGTGCTCTTGCCTAGAAAGGTTGGACCAGATGATGTTTGAGGTCCCTTCCAACCTAGGATTCTAGGATTCTATGAATTGTAAAACCATCTCTCTGGTGATCTGGGAAAAAAAAACCCATCTGCATAAACCCGAAAGGGACCAGAGGGAGCAGCAGTACCTCTTTCACAAAACGTTCCTGTCCAGCCCGCCGCGCAAGTACAGGCTCCACTCACGTGGTCGCAGGCAGCTCCGTTCTGGCACTGGCAGCTGTGCTCACAGCTCGGGCCAAAGCTTCCCTCGGGGCATCCTGTAGCGGAGGAATCAAAACCAGATGATGGGTTAATTCTGGAGCAAATCAGGGATAAACAGGGAAATTTTAGATACATGGGAATTCTTACTATTCACAAAAGAAGAATCAAGGCATAACAGTAATGCCCTAAAACTGATGCAATTAAGTATTCGCCTTGGGGTCCAGGTAAGTTGGGCTACTTTTATTAAGGTCTATTTTAGAGAAATGCCAGGGTGTTGAAAGACTAATTTCTGCACACAGAACTAATATCATCCGATAGTTGCAAAGCCTGTGACTTCACGGGTTCTGCTTGATGACACTTTGCATGCCGGTCTGGAATTGCTTATGTGCACATCTCCTCTGGGACTTCATCAGCCAGGATGGGGAAAGCTCCCAGCTTCTGTGCCTCCTTTTGAGGGCCTTTCCTCTGTTTTCCTGCAAATCCTCCTTCCCTAGAAAGCTGGAGAAAATATGAAATGTGGCGGCTTCCTTAGGAAAGCTCCAAACTGAAAGCCGCGTGCTTCATTTTCAGGCTCTGCTTTGAAAAATTCAAGTGAAAACATTGCATCTGAGGGACAGATTAACAATTACATTTCCACAGTGCCTAATGTAGAGTTTTAAAAGATTGGCGTGGTACTCTCTATGGGAAGAAAGAAAGCAACACTTGAGAACAAAAAATAATTTCTTTGAGGATTATAGGAAAAATCAATTAAGAATAGGGCCAGTTGCCTAATCCACATTAGATATTTTAGACAGGCTGAAATGGAGAGATCTACTTGGCTAAACACAGTATTACAAGGCCTCCACTCATGTTTGAGGGTCTTGTGAACTCCCCTCTAAATGAGTTACATAGATTATTGCCAGAGCTTTTTTAAAAGTGTAGGATTTTAGCATTTACATCAACAAAGTGTTTTCCAGGCGATCTGGAAAGAATCACAAGGAACAAAAACCAACAAGGCTCCTCAGATAACTGCGTCTGGAATAAAGTGGTGGGTTTGGTGCTGCCTATTCGGTGCCGTAGATGGGCAGCAAGAGGAGCTGGTATGAATTCGGTCATTCCTGCAGCTTAGTGACCCTCTACTAACTGAAGCCAACCCCTAGAGCTCTTACAGAGGCTATAGGTTGGGATGGGAGACAGAAGGATAGCAAGGCACGTTAAGAATGTCTTTACTCTCAATCACAGGACGTTGTTTAAATGTGGAGTCGTTTAAATGGATGAGTTGTGCTTACAGGTGGAATTCAGTCCCAAGGTTGAATCAGTGCAAAATCCCATTTGCGTCGCCTCCTATTCCCCAAGCTGCAGATCATCGTGCATCATGTCTCCTACACTAGTTTCACAAGTAGATACATGGAAGTGTACTTGCGTCGTAAAAGCTTGATCCTGCTCAGTGCTTACTTTTCACTTGAAATTTCAGTCGGAGGCCAGAGAATCTATGCAAGGAAAATAGCATTCCAGTGCAGTAATAGGTAGGGGGCTCTCAGCTGAGCTTTCTTCAAACCTACAGCGTTTAGCCTGGAGCTGAGGCTTTCAAGGTGATGGCAACGGGTCAGTACACTTTACAAATGACTTCGCAGTCCACATCACAGGGAATCCGCCCTCTGAGCGAGCAGGTACAGGCTGCAGCAATGCCCGCTGAGATACATCCAACCCACCGGAGAACCTGAGCTGCCTGCAAAGCCACCAAGGGACAGAGCCCGACCTGCAGCGAGAGGCTAGAGGTGCTCAGGAGCAGAGGAGCTCTCCAGGGAAAGTAAAGCTCTCACCTCCAAGGCAGCATAAAATGTTTAAGGGAAGAATTATGGCTTTTGTAATCTTGTGCACGCAAGATTACGATGCACACACACACTTTTTTTTATACGTATATTTACACACACACATATATATACACACACACAAACTAACTGAAGTGGGGTAAAAAGCAGGCTGAATAAAACAGAAAACCCACAGACAGAACATTAGGGGTTGCCAGATGTTGTGTCGGTGGCAATGATTTCACCAATTACCTTGCCAGAGAAGATGACAACCAGCTATTTGGCTACTTTCTGTCTGCAGAGATGCGGTTTTGAGAGAGGTCAAGAACGAAAGAGAAGTGGACCTGGCAGCTCTTTCTCTGGGAGCTGGTCTTCCCACTAAACTGTCCTTCCATTCCCTCTGTGCCAACAGTAACAAGAGCCGTAAGATCAGCTTTCCATGGTTTTTGTCTTAGGTCACCGTTCCGGATTGTTTTCACATTTCTGTGTGACACCAGCAGTTAAACGCTGAGATGTTAAATGCTCACTACTGAGACTCTGGAAGCTACCTCTGTGCTACTGTAAGATTGTTAAGCTAATAGATAAAATATTTATTTAACAACATCAATATAATCAATAATCATGATCATCATCGCAGCTTAACTGCGCAACTTATTGACACAGGATGAAGTGGATACCAAATGTTTGCATGGAATCAAAAAGGAAATAGGCACATTAATTGGAAAAAAAAAATCAAGTTACATTAAATATAGAGATATTGCTTCTGTCTCAAGAATCTCCTGAATGACAAATTGATGAAACATATCAGGAACTATCTATATGCCTGTTTTTATCCTCTTAAGGCATCTGCTATTGAACTCTGTTAGAGACAGATTAGTGGAGATCATGGGCGCCTCTGGTAAGACCATTGCGCATTTTGGTTCTTAATAGAGGACCCTAAATCTTCCTGATTTTGCTTCTGTTATGTACATGTGAAGCAATTCTATATGCCTGGCCTTAAAAAAGATTTATGAAGAAAAATTGTGGACCTAAAACTGGATAAATAAAACCAATATGGAAACTTCTATGCCACAAGCCAAATACACATGAATCCTGTCACTCACACGAGGTCTTAACATTAGAAATAGCTGTTGAGTCCAAAACAAGTCTGAAAATAACTTCTCTGGAATCCAAATTAGGGAAACTACGTAACCCTGATGGAACCCGAGAGCCGTGCAACGTGCTGGGCAAACCGGAGGCGGTACAGCCTGGAGGTCTTCCTGGAGGGAATTATCAGGAAAAACAATTTCTGGTTTTGCAAATTCCCCGTGTTGACAAAGTGGCAACTTACTCCATTCGCAGTGTTTCCCAGTGAATCCCGGCTCACAGAAGCAAGAGCCGGTGACCGGATCGCAGCTGCCGTCGCTGTTATTGCAGACACAGGTGTTTTCACAGCGCTGTCCCCAACGGCCACTACCGCAGGCTGCAATGCAAAACGGTATTTACATTGAGAACCACCTCTGAGCTTGCCTAACGGATTATTTTACATCTAAATGAGAGTACAGAAAAGATGCAAAATGGCCCCTTAAGATACAGAAGCTCTGGACTAAACTCTCAGCTGCAGGATGGGGCAATCCATGGAAATAAATACAATTTCTGCTGATTTATTTCAGCTGAAAGTAAGCAGATATTATGCCATCCACATAAAACTAATCATTCACAGTCAATCCCTATCAATCAATCCACAGTCACAAATGTGTAATTTCATGGAAATAAAACATCAGCTATTGACTCACTTAGCAAAAATCTGCATAACCAGAATAGATAACGGGTAGGACAAGACAGATTTAACGAGCATCCTCCGTATTTTCCTCAAAACACGGGGAAATGCAACATGGACAAAGACGGTCAAATCTCACAGACTTTGTTAAAGTGACTTACTGCTTTCATTCTAAAAATCACATAACAGCAACATGATTACGACAACGTACCACAGCATCTCCTTCCTTTCTTGTAAGGATAAAGACGAAAGTGCCAATTAGGGCAACAGAAACCTGGGTTTGGAGTTGGGCATCTGTTTCATGCCTGGTTGGCATTAGTTGAAGAGCTGCAAAACAACTTTTCTCAAATCTTTTCCTGAATAGAAATAAAAGCTTTTCTTTGCCATGGTCTCTTAATTCTTTAGACAGCCTAGGGAGTTATGGAAAGCTATCTAAATGGCGCTACACGTTACCAATCGGTTTGATTTTTAAAATACACATACTGGTGGAAATTTCAAACTTTCCCCGAGTTTTCTTCAGTACCGAGCCTGAGAAGCCAGGTCCAAAACTTCCTGGCAATTATATGATTTTCTGTGTCTACAATCAAGTTTAGAACGAGGTTTGTATTCTGTTGGCTTTTTGCAAGAGGGATCATAACGAATCAAGCAGAAAAGACGGGAAACAGAAAAGGAAAGAATCAAGCAGGATGGCTTAACATTTATATGGTGCCATCCAAAAAGGGCAAATTTGTACTCTTACACGGCCATCCATATGGAGAGGGATGCTAAAGTCAACAGAAGTATGGTCTGCTCTTCCAGAGAACAGAATTTCTCCTAGCATTTATATTCACGAGTTAAGGAGTGACCTTAAGCCACACGACTCTACTTGCCACTCACTTGTTGAATAAATCTCCCCTAAACAAAATGAAAAATTGAGAATTAATCTTAAAACTAATCTGCGCTGAAAATGAAAAACAAAACTGTCTGTCAGTCAAAATGCTGACAGGACAGATGGTATTGGGCAAAGGGATCCATAGTGTTGAAATAAGAGCTTATATCAATACTTTGCACTTCACCAGCCATCTATTTCAATACTTTGAACCTAGATAATTAAGGATTATAGCCACCCAGGCTGTGCAAAACCGTAAACACACAATTTCAGAAGCAATAAGATTAGTAAAAGTATATTGAAAACCTGTAATAGACTACGAACAAACAGAGCTGGTTCTTACACCTGCAGTTAAGTCCCTGGGAGGTACCACGGGCCCTGTGGAACGAATACGCGTTTGACTTACGGTGTTTGCAGTTGTGGCCAGTCCAGCCGGGGGGACACGCGCACTCTCCGGTGACGTGGTGACACTGAGCACCGCTGCTACAGCTGCACAACAGCAGGCAATTTTGTCCATAGTAACCACTGGGGCAGGCTGAAAACAGATGAACAGACTGGAATTTCACCCAGATAATAACTCAGGCACAGGCTGATCTTTGCAAACAAGACAGCAACAGCTTGCCCCCTGAAACATGTATTAGCTGAATCCAGAAATCAAAACTGCAAAATAAAAGAATCATCTGCAATTTGTATACTGGGTGTCTGGGGCCGAGTCCTGTAAAATGGGGAACAGCTTGAGTGACTTCTTGGGTACTTGTCCTACACATCAGGATCAATCAGTGGAAAAATACAAGAGTGCTGAGCAAACCTTCATCAAAAGCGATTTTGTGACTAAGAAGGAGAAAAAAATATGCCACCAGTGAGGCCTTGCACGAAGCACTGCTGTCCCTGAGAGCCTGTCTACCCCAGCACGACAGCCATAGCCAAGCAGCCTTCAATACCCACAGGCTGGGTAAGGAGTCATGCCCCAGTAGCACAGACCAGTTGCTTGAGCGTATTCTTATGGTCTCCCTGATCTGCAGGGACAGCACTGAGACTACTCCTTCGTCGTCACTACTCAGCCCTGAGTGAGCTACATCAAGGAGCATGGCTGCAAACATAACCCAAGAGTGACCCCAGAGGGGCCATCGGTCGGCACCTCGTGCCAAGTGACCAGGATTACAATGCAAGTATTGCGGCTGTTAGATGTATATCTAAGTATACATTGCTATAAATAAGGTCTAATGATAACATCGATCTGGGATGCAGTTTAGCTTGTCATCTGCATTTATCTGTAATCTCCCTCCAGTAAATAATGTCAAATCCAACCTGAGGAATTCCTCGAGCTGAAGGGTACTTTATCTTGGGGATCAGCATGTCTAATGCAACAAGCATCTCATGGAACAGCAAGAAGCTAGAAATCAAACCACAACCTGAATTTTCAGACTGACTTTCTTTTCACGGGGAAGGCTGATGTGAGGACTTACACGCAGAGCAGGACACCCCGGTGTAGCCAGGGGGACAGTCGCAGGTTCCAGTTTCTCTGTTGCACTGTCCCCCATTGGCACAGGGCTCACAGGAGAACTGGCAGTCTGGTCCCCACCGGCCAGCCGGGCAATCTAGGAAAAAAAGCACATGAGATGTCCCCAGTGCTATTTTCTGTTTCAAGGCAGTTATAGATTTCTGCCATTACCTTGGAGAATTTAAAAATACTCTTAAAACTCAGCTGGATAAAGCACTGTTATATTATCTCTACAGACCCAGAGCACTGCCACAGCAAACCGGCTGAAGAGTCAACACGCCGCTGAACTGCAGCATGTGAGAACACATCTAAAGAGAGACCCAAAGGCTCTCTTCCAACTTCCATCAGGGTGTGTTTGTTCATTGGTTTGGTTTCTGATTGTCCTGGTTTCGGCTGGGATAGAGTTAATTTTCTTCCTAGTAGCTGGCATGGTGCTGTGGTTTGGATTTAGGATGAGAAGAATGTTGCTAACACCCTGATGGTTCAGTTGGTGCTGAGCAGGGCTTACACCAGGCAAGGGCTTTGCAGCTTCCTCTGCTCTGCCAAGGGCACAAGAAGCTGGGAGGGGACATGGCCAGGACAGCTGACCCCAACTGTCCAAAGGGATACCCCACACTGTATGATGTCATACTCAATATGTAAACTGGGGGAGGAAGGAGGAAGGGTGAAGATGTTTGGAGTGATGGCATTTGTCTCCCTGATTCACCGTTACACGTGATGGAGCCCTGCTTTCCTGGGGATGGCCAAGCACCCACCTGCTGATGGGAAGTAGGGAATTAATTCCTTGTTTTGCTTTGCTTGAGTGCATGGCTTTTGCTTTCCCTATTGAACTGTCTTTATCTCAACCCATGGGTTTTCTCACTTTTACCCTTCCGATTCTCTCCCCCGTCCCACCAGGGGGAGCGAGTGAGCGGACGTGTAGGGGTCAGTTGCTGGCTGGGGTTAAACCACGACACCAATACAGTAATGTCAGGATTATTTGGACATATCTGAAAAATTAATTATTGCACTCAGCAAAGGAAATCTCCAGAGGATGGTAACCTGCAGACAGATGCAGGAGGGGAGGGCTGCTGTTGTATTTTTGCTGGGCTGAGTAGGGGTCAGGGTGGTCATACAGCCCAGAGGGGCTGGATGTGAAGTGGAGCCCAGGTCTCCATGCAGCTCCACCTCTTCCACCAGGTTCCTGCTCTGTGAAGCGGTGAGCCACAACCCAGGTCCATGCAGGGCAGATGCTCCTCGGGTGTGCGATAGCCAGAGCTCTGCAAGTGCCAGATGGGCATCCCGTGGCCCCTGGTAGTTCAGGGTCCCTGAGACTTTCTTTGTCCCTTTAGTTAATTACCCACAATTACCCTTTCTAATTCCTTCCTCCGTTCCAGCTCCTCACCTGCTGGTTCCACAATAGCTGTCTTTGGCCAAGGTCCCTCAACAGTTCCTGAGGCACGTTGTGTGCAGAAAGCAGCATGGTCCCAAGCTCTGCTCTGGGACTCAGAGCTGCTGCAACGCACCAGTATCTCTGCCCAACTTGTATAAACCCCGCCCAGCATACAAATGGCTATTATTAATTGGAGCAGAGAGACAGGTCAGGGTAACTGCATCATGCTCCCTCCTCTACAAGCAATCCCATGTGGTGGATGTCGTACGTTCTGCACTTGGCCATTAGCCATCCTGCAAACGAAGCCTATTGCATTGCAGCAGTTTTGGAAGAAAACAGAGTAATTCCCCTTCTTATTGTGTCTGTCAAAGCAAGACACTCACTACTCCAGCCCAACCATGAACACACCTTGCTCACATGTAGGGCCAGTCTTCCCAGCTGGACAAATACACCGCCCTGTCTTCACATCACACGGTGCTTCTCCACAGCTGCACCGCTGCTGGCAGTCCACCCCGAAGCTCCCAGGCTGACAAGCTGGTCAACAGAAACCCAAAGACACGGTTAGGATAAGGCAGCATTTTGAAGACACTGGGAGGCACCGCCAGCAGCAATTTTAAACTGAGCTGTGCTGGTACCAAGTGATCTACGTCAGCATCAGCGTCTCAGCAACCGGTGGTCTGTAATGAACTGCAACAGAGCTCTAGAAAATCTGTGCCTGAAGGTTTAAAAGGAACTACAGCTACCTGGACAAACGTTAGTTCTAGTAACTGGCCTCAGCCTTGTGCCTCGACCTTGCAAGCTGAGTGACCCAGCAGTTGCCAGGCTCCAAATACCAGTTTGGCTTCAGTGGGGAACTGCCAACCCTTACCACCAACAAATGTACCTTTTATTTGCAACTTCTGTATCTGAACATAAGCTTACTGAGTAAGCTTTCCCATTCAAAGTGTACCTCCCAGGGAAACAGGCAGTGAGTACCTACATAAATGGCATTTTTCTCCATGAAACCCAGGTGGACATGGATGCTTGCAGACTCCCGTCTCATGGTCACACAAAACATCAGCAGGACAGTCGCACCTCAGTGTGCAACCAGCCCCATAAAAACCAGGCGTGCACTCTGGAAAATGCAAGCAGACACAGAGCACGTATAAGAAAAAGGAAGAGTTAGGAAAACTGAACAGAAGTCAGAAAATAATTTGGCGGAAATTTGCAGAAAATCTATTTTAACGTACATTTTAGAGGTGCTGATAATGAAGCGTAAATACTTATTAAACATTTGGATGGACATTTCAAAGAGGTTACCGCTTAAACACAACACAGAAACAGGCTGGCAGAATACTTAAGGACATATTCAATTACAGCCATTACAGAATTGCTCTTCTTATCTGTCGGCACCTTCTGCTGCTCTCTGCCTTGGTGCAAAGCCTGTGCGGGGCGAGGGATGCTCTCCCCCAGAACTGAGCACATCACCAAGAACGCTGAAGATATTTAATACCCTCACTATTATTCTCCACCAAACCCCACAGAAGCAGTGTCATAAATCCAACACGTTCCTGCCTGCCCAGAGAGGAATCTGAAGGGAGAATCTTTATTGCGTTACTCCATTACTGTCTGGAGAGGGCTACTGAGACATGCAAACATGAATGTGGAATACAATTCTCTTTGAACTACCCCCAGAAACTACAAAGAATAACTTGAATTCAAAGACCTGCAAATCTGAAGGAAAAGCAGCATTACTGAAACCCTTTACAAATAACCCTGCTGCCACAAAACCCAGGCTTTGCCACTTATTTACTGCCTGTGCGGAAAAAGGAAAGAATAAAAGTGAAAACTCCCACAATCTTTGTTATTTAGGGTTGTATTAGAATTCGGTTTCTAGATTTCTGTTGTTGTTTGATCAGGCTAAAACTCCTGCATTCTTAAGCTGTATTCCCCTTGATGTCCCTGTAAGCCCTGGGATAGCAGGCACTCAGGGTGTTTGCTGTATGAAAAACCACAGACACAATAATTAGTAAAATATGAATATATTAGTAGCAGCAGCAGCCGATCAAAGCAGATGGGAGAAAGAATGAGAAATAATGCTAGGACAAAGGAATAAGTAGACAGGGGGAATCTGGCTCCCTGTTATACCTTTCTGACACTTCTTGCCGTGATAACCAGGCTTGCAGGTGCAAGTCCCGTTCCTCGCGCTGCATTCCAGCGTGTGCTCTTTCACGCACTGACACTCCTCCGAGCAGCCGGCTCCGAAGGCCCACCTGGGACAGGCTGCAGTCAGATGAAAAAGAATCATTAGCTCTGTAATTATGCATGAGTTATTTGAAATCGCACGCTGCTGCAGAATGCAACCGCTCTGCAAAAAGCAAATCGTTCATTTTACCTTCAGCAAACGCATCCACGTTCCTATGACAGTGCCTATTAACGTGTGGGTGTGTAAAATACAGTTTACATGATTCCTTTATTAAGTAATTCATTTCATTTCAAGCAGTATGTGGTGAATGCAAGAACCAGAAACGTTTCAAAGCAAACTTAGTTAAGTTTCTGAATGAAAAAATATTTGGATACGCTCCAAGATAAAAGCTTTCATGAAAAAAAAAAATCATAACTATTTTTCAATCTTGTATAGATTTTACGAACAAAACCTGTAAGTGCAAAGAAACTCAGCCATCTCTTTTGTAACGTTTTTGTTTTCACAGAATCCCAGCATGGCAGGAATTGGAAGGGCCCTCTGGAGCTCACCCAGTCCAACCCCCCTGTTAAACCAGGCTCACCCAGAGCAGGGGGCACAGGACAGCGTCCAGGCGGGGGTTGAATATCTCCAGAGAAGGAGACTCCACAGCCCGCCCTGGGCAGCCTGGGCCAGGGCTTGGTCTCCCTCAAAGTCAAGAAGTTCTTCCTCACATTCAACTGGAACCTCTTCTGCTTCAGTTTGTGCCCATTGCCCCTTGTCCTGGCGCTGGGCACCACTGAGAAGAGTCTGGCTTCGTCCTCATGACACCCACCCTTCAGATATTTGTACGTGTTGATAAGATCCCCTCTCAGTCTTCTCTTCTTCAGGCTAAGTCAGTTTTGATTCTTTTTATTCCCATTTAACATTTCGCCCTCATCCTGCCCCTCAGCTCCCACTCCAGCCATACTGACAGCCACTAAGTAGCTCCAACCAGACTTTAATCTCACCAACGACTCTAAGGTCTACCCCAACCCAACCCTACCTATAGTCCTCACCTTTGTGCATCAGTAAATCTCAGTCCTTATGGCATTAGATTGGATTAGATTAATTGCTAGAGGAAAAGATTAATGAAGCTTCTGGGGCTTCCGAGCACGCATCAAAAGCCACGTCCTCCTGCTACTCCCAGCTCACAGATGAGCCCAAAGCCTCAGTCATTTCGTATATGATGTGGAATCTTTTAAAAACCATTATGTTGTGCATGTGTTAAGTAAACAGATCCAAAAAATCATGGGGACTTACTAAGATGGCAGAAGCGCCCGTAGAGCCCGGGGTCACACAGGCAGGCTCCATAGAGTCTGTGGCAATAGCCACTGTTGGCACAGTTGCACGGTTTGTTGCAATTCTTCCCAAAGAGGCCTTTCGGGCAACCTTTGGAGTGCACAAAACACAGCAAAGCATCAGCTGCTAAGTGTTAAAACACGAACACCGAATCAGCTCTCTTTCAGTCGGCACTAGAGGAAAGACCACGCTGACCTGGGACTCTGGTTTTTCTCCCCTTCTGTCTTGCTTCTTATTTTAAACAGAAGTCACCGCAAGACCAGCCGTGGGCCTA